AGCTGTTACAAACAGTACGTGGGCACGGAGGGTATATATAAGCTTAGAGTGAGGTGTAATACTAATGGTAGTAGTAGTAGTAATATTAGTTGTAGTAGTAGTAGTAGTAATACAATATACCCTCTTGTGTCCATGTATTGCTTGTAACGGCTTGATAAAGCTCCTGGAGAGTGAGATGTTACCACAATAAAATATCACATTAGTTGCACTTGTGTCCTTTTACCTAACATATTGTCGGTAATTTTACCAGCATTAATACAACCATAATGTTATGGATGCCTGGTAGGTGATTATTCTCATATTATTCCAAGGCAGACTGTAGTCACAGTAATACAGTATTTCAATTTTTTTTATTTTACCATGTTTTTTTTTTTTTTTTTTTTGGTTTCAGTACCATAAAGAGCAAGTTTTAATGATATACAATATTGCACTTGGCATGTTAGGTTAGCTGAATGTACAGTAAATACTTCAAAGAAGATCATGTAAATATATTTGACCAGCAACACAGTTGCCAGAGAGTACTGGAGAATAGCTCTGATGTTAGTGGATTCATTATCTTTTAGGTTAATGCAGCTTATCTATGAAGTCAGGTTCAATAACATCTCATTTTTTCTAAATTTCTAAAATTTGGATGCCCTGCAACACACACTATTGATATCATAAAAGACTTGGTGCTTATTGTTCATGTGTAGAATGCTTTAAAGGCTCTCATTCTTTCCGATCATTGTTCATGTGTAGAATGCTTTAAAGGCTCTCATTCTTTCCGATCTGCTAGCTTTGGATGACATTCCTGCATGGTATGTCATCTTACCCAATGCTATTTGCCTTGTGAAACTTCCATTTTTCAGTCATATGTCCTTTCATAAACATTCTTTTTAGGAATGTGCAGATAATTGCAGGCAATTTGAACTGCTTCCTAGGTAGTAGGTTGGTAGACAGCAACTGCCCAGAGAGGCACTACTGTCCTGCTAAGTGAGTGTGGAACGGAAGTCTGCAATTGTTTTATGTGATGGAAGGATTGCTGGTGTTTTTTTGTCCCATAAACATGCCAGATTTCAGGTTGCTACTTCTGCTTACACTTAGGTCACACTACACATGCATGTACAAACATATATATATATATATATATACATACACCCCTCTGAGTTTTCTTCTTATTTTCTTACTAGTTCTTGTTCTTGTTTATTTCCTCTTATCTCCATGGGAAAGTGGAACAGAATTCTTCCTCTGTGAGCCATGCGTGTCGTAAGAGGCGACTAAAATGCCTGTATATATTACTAAATTTAAAGGGAAAAACTTTCGTTTTTCCTTTTGGGCCACCCTTGCTCGGTTTGATATGGCCAGTTTTTTGAAAGAAGAAGAAAGGGGCTAGTAGCTCCTTCTCCTGTATACATTACTAAAGTTAAAAGAGAAACTCTTTTTTCTTTTTGGGCCACCCTGCTTCGTTGGGATGCAGCCAGTTTGTTGAAAGAAGAACTTGAACTGCTTACCTGTCACTGCTGTGAATAGCTACCATTGCTTGTGTAGCAGGATGGTTAAACTCTTTCAAATGCTGGTTGCTCCCTGCAGTAATATATTTGGCAGATCAAAGGGCAACACAGTTTTTGATCTCTTGGTAACAACTTGACACTATCAAAATTGCTAATTATTTGGACATGTAGTAGTGCTCCAACTACAGTGCTGAGACTCTATACTGATCCTTCCTGTAAGCAGTCTTCATCACAGTCTCAGTTGTGTAAGGGATCATCCCTTTTACTCAGCTCTGTGTTCCATTTTCAGACTGGAATTTGAAGTCTTCATTTTTTAAGGAAAATAAAGCATGGTGTATGGCCTGGTTATATCTCATCTTGAGCAACAAGGCTTTCTTCCACTTAATTCATTTACCCATCAGATGATCAGACCCTCACATTTGGCCTCTTTGGCATTTTTTTTTTTCCGCTGAATGAATGTGCTTGTACTGTAATTAACACTATCCTACAGAAGTCTGGCAGCTTCAGCATATCCAAACTCTTGGTAAACAGGATGTTGCCTGTGTTGGAGATGGCCATCACATAATATCCACCTAAAAACATAAGTGTAAAGGAGTGCTGCAGCAGGGCTGCTGGCCCATGCTGACAAATTCTTCTCAAGCCTAACCCTTACCTTTCATACTTTTATTACCGCTACTCCTCTCACTTCATGTAACCTGACTCTTACTACTATATATGTACTGTACTTCTTTTTTTAGGCATGTCTAATAAGACTGAAAAAGACACGTGGCAAAATATTTTCCTTGAGAATAATTTTTTGCACTAATCTCAAGAATTCAATGTCTCTGCATATCTTAGTAAGGTGATGGTTGGAATTACTTCTTGGCAGCATAGACCTCTATGAATCTTAGAAATTTTGAGGGGGGTTATTTTTAGCTTCATGAATCAATAATAAATAAGTAGAGCTACACCATTCACCTTGAATTGCATGTAATGTGAGTAATCTCAGATACAAACATTAGGTTAGAAAGTTTTTGCGCTGTAAATATTTTATTGTATTTTATTTTGTTCGCTATCTTAGTATCTCAAAAATGATCTTAAGGTAAACATTTAAAATTTGTTATCATTATTATAATCAGTTTCAGCACTAAATCCTAAGGGTCATACAGTTTTTCTTAAACTATGATAAGTTGACACTGTAGGGAAATGTATAAATAATTGTAAGAGAATATTACTTTATTGTTAAACCTTTATTTAATTTTATTTTAGTTTTGTAAAAAGAGAAGCTCAGGTTAGAGTATTTATGAGAGAAGGACATTATTTTCCAATAAATGTTGGCTCTAGACAGGGATGCGGGATGTCACCATGGTTGTTTAACATATTTGTTGAGAGGGTTGTAAAGGAGGTGAACATTTGGGTGTTGGGGAGAGTTGTGGGATTGAAAGATACAGGAATGAACCTGATATCAAGTAGGAGTTATCACACTTGCTCTTTGCCAGTGACATTAATCTTTTGGGGGACTCGGAAGAAAAGCTGCAAAGGTTGGTCAAATTGGAGAGGGTATGTATATTAAAAAAAGGAAATTTAAGGAAAACCTGGGAAAGAGCAGTGTAATTAAAGTAACAAAAAAAATCTAGGAAATGAAAATATGGATATCAGATTAGAGAGAGGGAGTTTGAAAGAAGTAAATGTGAACTTGTTGGCAGATGTGCTGTGAAAGATGAGGTGAATCGTAGAATTGACAATTGGAAAAAGATGGGTGGTGCATTGAGGCATCTGTGCAAGCAAAGAATCTTATCCATTGAGGTAAAATAGGAAATGTACCAGAGTATAATTGTACCAACATTATTTTATGATTGTGGAGCATTGATTTGTAACAGCAAGGAAGAAGCTGGAGGAAATGGAGATGTGTTTGAGGGCAATGTGTGGTGTAAATATTGTACTGAGAATATGCAACATGATTAAGTGGTGGTGTGAGGTTATCAGAAGTATTATTTAGAGGGCAGAGGAGGAAGAGTTAAGATTGTTTGGACATTTACAGAGGCTGGAACACAATAAGATGATGAGGAAGGCATATTAATCTGGGATGGAGGGATAGGGCTCATCCAGGAAAGGTTCGAGAGAGGGGAGGGGATAAGAGAGATTTTGAGTGCTAGGGGCTTGGACATCCAACAGGCTTGTATGAATATGTTAGATAGGAATGAGTGAAACCAAGTGATTTTTATGATTTAATGTGCTGTTGGGGTGTAAGCAAAGTATGTAACATTTTTTAAGAGATTTAGGAATTCTGGCTAGCCAAACTTACTCGAGCCCTGGAGGTGCAGTGCACATTGCCTGCAATCTGAAGGAGGGGTGAGGATGTTGTAATTCTGAGGGTTATCTGAGTTGTAATGCCAGTGCACTTCAGGGTGGGAGATAGTCTAAGGGCAATGTGTGGTGTAAATATTATGCAGAAAATTCGGAGTGTGGAAATTAGGAGAAGGTGTGGAGTTAATAAAAGCATTAGTCAAGGCAAAAGGGGTGTTGAGGTGTTTGGTTTTAGAGAATGGATCAAATAGAATACGGAAAGCATTTAAATCTATAGGGAAGGAAAGAGGGGTAGGGTCGTCTCGAAGGGGTTTGGAAAGGGGGGTAAGGTGGTTTTTTGGTTGAGGGCTTGGACTTCAGCAAGCGTGCATAGCATGTTAGATAGGAGTGAATGGGGAAGAATGAACTTGGGATGACGATCTGTTGGAGTGTTTAGCAGGTAATATTTAGTGAAGGTTTTAGGGAACCCGGTTATTTTCATAGTCGGCTTGATTGGAAAGGAAAATAACAATGCCCACTTTAAAGGGGTTGGGATATTGGCAGTTGGAGGGATATGTGTGTACTTTAACTATATGCTTCTAAACTGTTGATTCTGAGCACCTCTGCAAAGCAGTGTAATTGTGGTGTGGTGAAAGTGTTTAAAGATGATGAAAGTATTTCTTTTTGGATTTCTTTCTTTTTTTTTGGGTCACCTTTGCTCGTGGGAGCGACCGACTTGTTGAAAAAAAAAAAAATTATAGGTAATTCATTAATATCTCAAACAAGGGTTAAATTTAGTTAACCTCATGGTATCTTCAACACACTACATTTATATTCTTTTGACTAATCTGTTAAAGTTGATACCAAGTTAAAGGGTTTTTTTTTATTTAATATTTGTTTTCATGAATATACTTTGTTAAAAATAATTTGAATTGCTTTTTATGCATGCCTGTTGCGTATGCCTATAAATTTGAGTTTTCTGTCTACCTGTGAAAGTAAAAGAAAAAATATTGTAAAGGTCATTTCTTGTTAATATGCAAAAAAAGTAATTAAATTTGTATGCTGTATTTTACCAGTAGGCTAGAAGGCTGTAAATTTGAACAGAAATATATGTATTGTTTTTAATGCGTAGCATGAACTTTTCTTAGCAATGTTTTCCAAAAAGTTTAATCAAAGTAACCTTTGTTTACCTGCCCATTTGGGCCAAGGCCTGGCCAGCTTGTTTTCTTACCATTGCACTGCTGAGCCAGTTTAGTTGTCTTACCATTGCACTGCTATAGACTTTTTGACACTTCCAGAGACTCATACTACAGTACAGCACCATACAGAACAAAACTCTTGAACAGAAAGACAATCTGTGGATAAGAATAAATCTATATAATATACTACATAAAAAAAGTAAAACAAGGTATTCACCATTGTCTAGAGTCATTGTTCTCTTACACTTATTATGTATGGTACCTTCTCATTAGATGTAGAACAATTTAGCATTGTGTTGACCTGAAGAACTTGATGCAACTAGAGTGAATATAGAACCGTGAAGGAATACTGTACTCTTAACTCCTCAAGCCATAGGTTGCATCAGGAGTGCACAATTATATTGCATATAAGCTGTAAGAACATTTTTTGAACTCACATGTTTAGCAAGTGAATGAGCAGAGCAGTTACTATCAAGTAGTAACAAAGTCTTGCAGCATTAAAGAGCTATAAGTTCCGTCAGTGTTCCCTGGCATGGTTTGCAAACATATTTCTTAAACCGTTCATTGGTAATATTGTGTGTAGCCCACACTGTCTTCTTTGCCTTGAAATGAGCTGGCAACATCTTAATGCCTTTCAGTGCTTATGGATAAGCACTTTTCTTTCCAGTTACTAAGAGTTTGCACTTATGTTCCTGAATTGAATGTAATCTACTGTACAAAATAGTACCTATAATGTCATCTAATGTAAAATCTAATATCTATAAACTTAGTAGACTACAACTCAACTAATTTTTTCTTATAATCATGTACAATGATACGCCTTTGTAGTCTTAAGTTAGGCCTAAGCTTGCCCAAAACCATGGTCTTTCAATGTGCACTGAAGTGTCACCCATTTCTGTATAAACAGTGTGTCATGTTGAAATAAACTTGCATTTGTGTGTGTGCCAGCTACATTAAAATAGGTTAAAACTATTAATTTTTCTCTAAGTTCTTTCATCCCAGCTGTGGATTTCTCATTCCTTTTAGCAAATGAATATATTGCAGTCCCTCACCAAAATAATTTGGTCTCATGAGTAATATATATTTATTAAACAGATAAATCATGTTCTCCTAAATGAATAAATTCATCATAATATTAACCCTTTGAGGGTCGACAGGCCCTCTCCGAAACTCGTTCTCAGGGTCGGCCAAGTATAAAAAAAAAAATTATTTTCTCTTATGAATAGATAGAGAATCTTTTCCCGATCATAAGGACACCAAAAGTTTGAAATTTGATGGAAAACTTACGGAATTATGCTCTCGCAAAGTTAGCGGTCTCGGCGATGTTTACGCATCGGCGATTTTGCCCACTTTGAGCCCCATTTTCGGCCAATTCCACTGTACTAGTCAACAAAAAACATGAATATTTCGCTAGAACTCCATTTTTTCTATCGAATGGGTGCAAGAAACAACACATTTATGAAACTCAACTATCCAGTACAGTGGTCAGAATTTAGCAATTTTGCCAATTTCACACAAATTTCAAAAGATGCCAATTTCCAAATAGGGTCCAGAATAAACAAGAAAGACATTCCTGGCACTAAAATGACATTTCCTCTGGTCATTAGTCACGTCTCAAGGCCCCTCTTATATTCTTTTGCTTTCCACTTTGAATTTTTATTCTCACAAAAAATATAAGATTTACTGTTATGCAGACTACTGCATTAGTGTAAAAAATGGTATAAATATTATTGGTGCACTTGTGAAAGAATATTAGACTCACCAGTTGACGTGTATTGCACGCTTGGCACGATTTGTTTACTTTTGAAATTTGGTAAAAATCGAACATTTCTGCTACTTTGAGCTCAATTTCAAGGTATCTTTCATTGTAAAACCAGTCAAAATCATCTCAATTTCTGTAATATGTCTTCCATTCTATAAAATGAGACCAAGAAAACTAGAATACAACAATAAATACCATACGAAAATACAATGCAAAGTCGCTGTTTTATTCCAAAAAAATGATCAAAGTTTTTTTTTTCTCATTATGCACTGTGTGCTGCAGGATTTTTTTTAGACTGTGCACACTGACCACATAGACCCATTCTTTCATATGAAGGCCTACCAGCTTTCTCCCACTAGATTTGAGGGCGCTAGAATTTAGGCGTACTAGTACGTCAAAAACCCTGGGTCGTAAGCCGTACTAGTACGTCCGAAACCCTCAAAGGGTTAAGGAGCAGTGACATTATCTAACATTCACTCCCAAATATATCTGAACAAATCTACTTCCTCCATACTCCCTCCCACTAATCTGATATCCTGTCTTTCAGTACCTAGATTTTTCTGTTACTCTCATAACCATATCCTGCCCTATGTTCACTTTTAATTTCTTCCTTTTACATACCCTCCCAAATTCCTCTGCAACCTTCTGCAACCTCTCTTCAGAATATATCAGAAGAGCCGTGTCATTATCAAAATGCAAGTGTAGCAGCTCCCACTTCATACCAAGTTCATCATGGTATCTTTTAATCCCACACTTTGCTCCAACACCCTATGTTAACTTTTTTTTTTTTTCCAACATTATCTATACATATACAGTTTTTAAACAACTTTGGTATGTCACACATCCCTCTCTGAGGCCTACTTTTACAGGAATATAATTTCATTCCCCTCTCTTTCCTATACCTTAATTTGAGCCTCATTATCCATAAAAAATTTTTTGCTGCTTTTAACCCTTTCAGGGTTGAGAGGCCCTCTTTAGGAGAGGGCCTCACCTAAAGGGTTGAAAATTTTTTTGCAAAAAAAAAAAAAATTCTTATGAAATAATAGAGAATCTTATCCCGATCATAATGACACCAAAAGTATGAAATTTGATGGAAAACTTACGGAAATATGCTCTCACGAAGTTAGCGGTCTTGATGATGTTTACTCATCGGCGATTTCGCCCACTTTGGCCCCTATTTTCGGCCAATTCCTGTCAACAAAAATCATATTTATTTTGCTAGAACTCCATTTTTTCTATTGAATGAGTACAAGAAAACACCCATTTACCAATTTCAACTATCCAATAAAGTGGTTAGAATTTGGTAATTTTGCCAGTTTCATGCAAATTTCAGAAGATGCCAATTTCCAAATAGGGTCCAGAATAAACAAGACAGACATTCCTGGCACTAAAATAACAAGTTCTCTGTTCATTAGTCACGTCCCCAGGCCCCTCTTACATTTCCTTTGCTTTCCACTTTGAATTTTTATTCTCACAAAAACTAAAAGATTTACTGTTATGCAGACTACTGCATTAGTGTAGAAATGGTATAAATAATATCAGCGCACTTGTGAAAGAATATTAGACTCGCCAATTGGCGTGTATTGGACGCTTGGCATGATTTGTTTACTTTTGAACTTTGGTAAAAATCGAACATTTCTGCTACTTTGAGCTCGATTTCAAGGTACTTTTCATTGTGAAACCAATCAAAATCATCTCAATTTCTGTAATATGTCTTCCATTCTGTAAAATGAGACCAGGAAAACTAGAATACAACAATAAATACCATACGAAAATACAGTGCAAAGTCACTGTTTTAATCCAAAAACACGGCCAAAGTCTTTTTTTCTCATTACGCACTGTTTGCTGCAGGATTTTTTTTATACTGCGCACACTGACCACATAGACCCATTCTTTCATATGTAGGCCTACCAGCTTTCTCTCGCTAGATTTGAAGGCACTAGAATTTAGGCATTCTAGTACGTCAATAACCCTGGTGCGTAAGCCATACTAGTACATCGGAAACCCTGAAAGGGTTAATTATCTACTACCTATTCCATACATTTGCAACATCTACATTATTCCCCTTTCCATCCTATCATTTTTTTTTTAATGCAATGGCTGTCTCCCACCAAGGCAGGGTGACTCAAAAAAGGAGAAACAAAGTTTTTCTTTTTGCCCCTTTATCCCAGCATTTGACACACATGGCTTGTGGAGGAGGGGTTGTTCTCCATTTTCCCCATGGGGAACCTATCAGATCCCTTTTCTAAATCCGTAATTGAATAGAATGTTTCTTACCTTCATCTTACCCTGCACATAGGAGAATGAAGCTTATGACGACATTTCTATCTGATTTAGACTAATACTAGTCACTGATGACTAGTTTTTGGTCTGTTGAATTTTGAAATTATAGTTCTATTATTGGCAGTTTGGAGGGATATGTTGTGTATCTTTATACGTATATGCTTCTAAACTGTTGTATTCTGAGCACCTCTGCAAAAACAGTGATAATGTGTGAGTGTGGTGAAAGTGTTGAATGATGATGAAAGTATTTTCTTTTTGGGGATTTTCTTTTTTGGGTCACCCTGCCTCAGTGGGAGACGGCCGACTTGTTGAAAAAAAAAAAAAGTTGTATAAAGTACACGAAGAACAGTTATAGATGGTAGGAGTCAAATTACTTGCCTCACTATTTTACAAGAATGATATCCAGTAAGGAAGAATAATAGAATGCATACTGTAGTACAAAAGGTTAAATGCCATTGTTGTATAGGAAGATGATGTTAAGAAGTTATAATGGTATTGTTTTGGGTTGGGTATATGAGGAAGGTATGGTAAATTTGCATTTTTTTTTTATTATAAGCACAAAGTGTTGCTTATAGATATGGTTAATGATATTTATAGAAGATTTAAAATTTAACAGGTTGTGTTTACTATGTAATAAGTAAAACATTACACCTTAATTAAAATTTGAGGTGTACTCTTATATGTATATATATTTAGTGTAGCTATTTTTGGGGGGCAATAAATTTGAAATTTTTTCAGTGTTAACAGTATTTAAGTATAATATTCATAAGTTATCATAAACAATGAAAATTTTTTCATGATTAGTTTGCTTCAGATGTTTAGGCTTTATTTAAATTGAAGTTGCAACTCATTGAACTTCTTTCTAACAGCCGAGAGAAGAGCCCAGCTCAATCGGAGTCGTTCGCGTACAGGCTTGGTCACACAGTCGTCAATTAACAACAAAGACATTAAACAGTGAGTTATTTTACCTTCAGTACTGTATCATATTTACCATGTGTATTATAGCTTATTAAGAATTATAAAGAAATATGTTATAGTGTAAGAGCTTTCTGTCTCTTCTTGATTCTTGAGTATTGTATATTTGATGAGTATATCATCCTTGATGTATATATACCAAGAGCAACAACATGTACACCTGGAGGAGTGTATATTTCATTATATATACACTCAGAGTTTAATCCCTATTTTACAGATTAAGGTGTCCTTGACTGGGGTACATGTGACATGCAGCCATAATGACCCTTTGTGTAATCAATTGTTTTAAACTTAATAAGTTAACTTTTCTTGACTTATTAATAAATCTCTTAATACCCATATGTGTGTGTATCTTACGTGCATATTTTGCAGGTTTGATTTATTTTGTTTAGTCAACTAATTATTTAATTCATAAATTGATGTACACAGTCACCGAGAGGGAACAATTAAAGTTGTATGTGGAAATTTTGACTTTGTAGCCACATCAGTTTCCTGTTGCACTAATCCAGGAGTAGAGAGATTTTGATCTAGATAAAATTAAAGCAGACCCCTTCTCCTGTATGAATTACTACATGTAAAAAGAAAAACTTTCATTATTCCATTTAGGCCACCCTGCCTCAGTGGGAGACGGCTGGTACATTAAAAAAAAAATTAAAGCAGTCATTTATCAGTTAATATCTTTTTATGTATATGTCTATGAGTTTCAAACAAAAAAATTTAATTCAGTCAAGTGTTAGAAATGACAATTTGTAATTGTGACACTTAACATGTCTAAGATTCCTGTTAGCCCAAATGATATTTTTTTCATTTTCTATCCATAAACTGACTTTTTATATTGAATTGCTAGTGTAATTTGATATTAATCATGTCAAAGTTATTTATTATGACAGCTGAAAAAATCCAAGTATGGAATCCCTGCATACTAGTTTTTATAAAATTATTTCTGCTTTCAGTTTGAAAATCTCTCAGCTGATGAAAGTTTAAATTCAGACATTTGATTGCTGGACTTGAGTCCTGGAAATAGGAAGTACAATGCCTGCACTCTACAGGAGGGGTTTGGGATATTGGCAGTTTGGAGGGATATATTGTGTATTTTTATACGTATATACTTCTAAACTGTTGTATTCTGGGCACCTCTGCAAAAACAGTGATTATGTGTGAGTGAGGTGAAAGTGTTGAATGATGATGAAAGTATTTTCTTTTTGGGTATTTTCTTCCTTTTTGGGTCACCCTGCCTCGGTGGGAGATGGCCGACTTGTTGAAAAAAAAAAAAAAAATTGATTGCCAGAATAAACAGCTTTATGATGACTAATTGAACATTGCACTGCTGAAAATAGTGCAAAACATTCATGAGCTTACCAAAATTTATCAGATTTTGCCACAATATTGAATTTCATTCTTGAATTTTTCATTGAACAGATTGTCAGTGAAACTATGCATGTACTATAATAATTTCTGTACAGTAAAAATTTTCTAAGTTGAATTCCAGGATCTATTTTGCATTTTTTATTTCAGAGCTGACACGCTTGACGTCGACATTGAAAACCAGCCAGCCCGACCGTCTCGTCCTCGCACACGTAGACCTGGCGTTCCTACTGGATTAGAATCTCGGGATCGTAATTTCAACCAGCAGTCAACAGAAAATGGTGGAGATGCATCTGAAGCTTTACTGCAAAGGTTAAGAGATCTTTGAGTGCAACCACAATGATACATTATTCAATATTAAACATGTGAAAAGTAGTAACTCATTTAAGTGTTCTCTTGTTCATGGTATTTGGTGAAAAGCAGAAGTAGGGTATGTAATTTTGTGAATTACTTGAAAATATAAATATTTATGAGAAGTGACAGAAAGAGAGCTTTGGGGATGGAATAGGATTACATTACAATTTAGCACAAGCAATTGCTGCAATGAGTAAAGCATGAAATTGGTTTACAGTGAATATTTGAGGGATACAAGCTCAGTATACTTGTATATGCATGTATTTGTGTTTTCCATCTGCATATACACACACACACACAAACACACACACACACACACACACACACGTATAAACTCTTCAGTTTGAGGGTGGGGAAAAATAGAGAATGTACAAGTGGAGAATGAATTGGAGGCAAACCGCACATTAATTCAAATGTAAGTACGGCAGAAGCATAAGAATCAGGGATTCATCATATTGGCTGATTTGTGATTGAGAGGGAGAGCCCAAGAGCTAGAGTTTAACCCCTGCAGAGACACAGGTAAACATGTACATGTATGCATGCATATATAAGAGAAATCCTGTTGTTTTTAATATGCATTATTTTTAATATATTTTCTTTCTAATAGTTTCATCTTCTTTGCCCTACTTTTTATCAAAAGGTTATTTAGAGGTAGACAATAAATTTCTATTAAAAAAGTGCAAGCATTTATATTCTTTCTGAATATTCCAAGCAATACTATACTGTATATGGAAAAATTGGTATTTTCCATGATATGAAACTGTCTTAAATTTGTTTCTTTTACTGAAATATAAAATCTGTGTTATGGCTGAAATGATGTTTATGGTTACTTTTAAATACTTTCAAGTATTTTTATGCCTATTTTATTGTGTATGACATGCAAAAGTCCTGTTAGTCATTAATGTTAGGTGCCTGTAAACTCTGCCTGTATTCTTACCAGTCACTATAATTATGAATTTGAGACATCAGTACACCACTTATTAGTTCTGATAATTGACTATTATATATTATTTTCCAAATTTTCATAATTATTATATTCTGATACCTTGAACATCACATTTTATAGAGTACACTTCTGTCATAGTTTACCATAATTGCATTAAAAATATTACCAACAAAAGAATAAAAAGGGGCGAGTGTGTAACTTGAAGATAAAAGTTTTGCCTGACACATCATCACTAGGATAGGGAAGGGAGTGCCATTATGTTGGCTAAAAAAGATTTACTTGGTCTGTAAATTATAAATAAAATTGAATCATGAAAACTGGGCATAATTTTATTATTTTTAACCCTTAAACGGTCCAAACAGATCGACGTTCAAAATCGTATTGCTACAAAAGTAGATTTACTTTTTTTTACATATTTTCAAATATAACAAAAAAAATGTAGATAAAAGTTTTTTTTTACATCGTTTTCAAATGTAAAAAAAAAAAAAAAAAAAGATCTACATTTTTTTACATACTTTCAGATGTTGAAAAAACGTATATATACGTTTGGACCATTTAAGGGTTAAATACATATACTATACTTAAAAAAAAAAACAAAGCTACCGGTAGAAATAACATTTCAATATATTTATAAAATACCTGAGATATTAGTCATAATTTTAACTTTGAACTTTTGAAGGATAAAAAATAAGCAGTCTTCAGGGCCTGTGTATGTGTATCTCATATTTGTGGGTTTGTTTACCTCATTAGATTAGAAAGGTTATTAAAATATCACTTGCTGTAAGCATGCATTCTTATTGGTTCCAGTGATAATGCAGCAAAATATGCAATACCAGTGAGTTGTAGTAATTATGTTTGGTGTACTGATGCACTGCTAGTGCCTTAACATTTTTTCCTAATATTTTTTCCCAGCACATAATGAAATTCACATCATAAATTTGCTGTTATCGTTCCTTTCCTTCCTGGATATGAATACAGGATATTTTTATTACCCTATTCTTTGTGTAATACTGCATGAGCTTGATATGAATACATGTACAGTGGAACCTCAAAATTTGAACGTATCACATATCAAACGTTTCAAAAATAGAGCCCTTTTCTCGAACCAACTTTGTCCCTATTTCCGGACCTGTCCGCCAGCCTGCTCTGTCTGCGTCCCCACACAGGTGCCGTGAGCCAGTCTGGCTTTGTTAATGCATGAGTGAACACTAACCTGCGCTCTCATTCAAACATTTTACAATTATTTCATTGTGTTTAGTGCTTGTGTGGGACTGTGAAATAAGCTACCATGGGTCCAAAGAAACTTGCTAGTGGTACCCTGTGGTAAAGAAAGTGAGAAACACCATAGATGTGAAGAAGGAAATAATACAGAAGTATGAGAATGGCGTGAGACTTGAGCTTGCCAGGATGTACAGAGGACTGTGGACAGTTATTTTGTGAGACAGAAACAGAGGACTGTGGACAGTTATTTTGTGAGACAGAAACAGAGGACTGTGGACAGTTATTTTGTGAGACAAACAGAGGACTGTGGACAGTTATTTTATGAGACAGAAACAAAGGACTGTGGACAGTTATTTTGTGAGACAGAAACAGAGGACTGTGGACAGTTATTTTGTGAGACAGAAACAGAGGACTGTGGACATTATTTTGTGAGACAAAAGAGGACTGTGGACAGTTATTTTATGAGACAAGACAAAGGACAGTGGACAGTTATTTTGTGAGACAGAAACAGAGGACTGTGGACAGTTATTGTGAGACAGAACAGGGACTGTGGACAGTTATTTTGTGAGCAAACAGAGGACTGTGGAAGTTATTTATGAGACAGAACATAGGACTGTTGGAATGTTATTTTTGAGATCAAACAAGGATGTGGACAGTTTTTGTGAGACGGGGTCATGTTCAGTGATCCTAGTGCATAAAGACAGAGAGGAAGTAATCCAAGAGAGGGCTTTTACTGAGTTCTCATGGAGGGGGATTCTCTTCAAACACATAACCCCAATCTCTCTCCTCCCTATCTTCCAGATGGCTATTATTTTATTATACATAATTTGACATTTAGACTTGTTTGTGTATGTAAATGTAATTTTCTTAAACATTTTTGTGATTTGGGGTTCTGGGAACAGATTAATATATTTCCATTATTTCTTATGGAAATATTGCTTCGATTTTCAGACTTTTTGAGTTTGAACTAGTACTGAGCGAAAGTTTGAAATTGAGGTTCCACTGTAATGTAAGCTCTTATTATTCTATTATTAACAAGAACTTTTTTTTTTTCCAAGACTGGCCATCTCCCAACAAGGCAGGGGTGATCTAAAAAAAGAAAGACACTTTCACCATCATTCACACATAATCACTGTCTTTGCAGAGACGTGCAGATACCAGTAGTCATAGCTCAGTGGTAAGAGTCACGCCTCTCACCACTGAGGTCCGGGCATTGAATCTTTGGGCTAAAAAAAAAAAAAAAAACTTCTCCCATATAGCTTATTAAAAATAAAAAGAACATTTATGTGCTAAAAACGTATGCACAGTTCAAGATATTTATTCAAGTAATGTCTAATAGCCACAAGTGGCTGTTTTGATCCTAATATAGAGACAACTAAGAAACGAGTACACAACCTGCACATAGGAGAGAGGAGCTAACAACAATGTCGTTAATGTTCTCCCACATACTTATTGTCACACCTGCCACAAAGTATGACAGACTCCTATTTTGGTGGGTGTGTTGTCATTTCGTCTGTTCCTTGCTAAATCTCTTGACTGCCTCTCATTGTCAGAGATACAGTTAAAACTACAATGCTAACTGGCAGAACAATATATTGAGTTTTTGTTTCCTCTAGTGTCAATGTTGTTTCTGTTGAGAATGAGTGCTGCACATTTTCTGCAATCAGCAGTGAAGTGAAGAGAGAGATGTAGTAGTTTGAAAGTTTGTGTAGTACATGTCTTTAACTGCACATATGTTTATCTACATACTGTTGGTATAGCTACCATTGTGTTAAATTTCCATTAGTACAATTATTTTAGGCATGCATACCTTTTACCACATCCACCATTACGCACTAAGGTAGGGTGACTCAAAGAAAGAAAAATTTATAATTCATTGTACAGTTTTCTCTTGTTTTATTCAGTTTAATTTTGCCTGAATTGCTTATATGTGGTAAACCTTTTTCTACCAATATTTCACTATTTTTTTTTTTTTCAATACATCGATCGTCTCCCACTATATGCAGCATAAATTCACTCTTGCACACTCACTTGAGCCCAGCACCTTGTGATTTATTTTGAGTCTCTAACTGTTGATCTGAACTGGTTTATGTTAGCATCCCACTTAATAGAAAGAAAACAGTGTGGCCACAGGAAATCCAGTGAACATATTTTGAAAGAATTTTCTGACTGGAGCACGTGTATTCACAGGTTCATAGCATATACACTTCAATCCAAACAAAAACAGGCTGGGTATTTGGTGGTTGAGAGAAGCAGATTGTGTTTGAATTTTGAGTTGAATCTTTTTTTTTTTTTTTTTTTGACAATGCATTAATTTTTGGTATATGGACATTTGGTGCTCCCTTTTGTTCTAAAAATTTTTTGGTAAAATAAGTGAAGAAATGTGAAATTTTCCCATTTTTTTTTTTATCATGTAGGAATTATGACTTATTTTTTATTTTATTGTTTTTAATCTTTTTGCAGCCAAATTCATATCCTTTTTTTTATATATGACTATTTGGTGCATGCAGAGTAAACTCAATGTTTATTGGTAAACAATGGTCAAGAAGTGTGCAAGTTGTAAAGCCTCAGAATGAATTTAATTGGTATAATGTGTTTTTAATTACACTGGCTATTAATCAACCAGTGTCAACTATCTGTTGTATACTTTGTCATGCAAAGTTTGCTTGCAGTTCATCTTTAATAATAATGAGTAATACTGTTTTAGTTCTCCCATTTGTTTTTAATGGATGTCATTCACCATGTTTTCCTGTGAGTTAATTTGGATGGGTTGGACTATAGGAATACCAAAAATTATAGGTAACATTTTACAAATATGTAATGCCATTAAACATACTTACCGTGCAGTAAGTCCTCCCATAACACTCGAGATACATTCCTGAAAATTGGTGCCTTATTGAAATTAGCATTTTAAAGTGAAGAACATGCTATATGGGAACAGTAGGGGGACATTCAAGACACTTCCAAATTTGCCATTCAGATTTGTTTTTACTATTCCACTAAGTAAAAATTAGTGATGGGGTGATACTAGCATTGTTTCCACTACTGATCATCAATTTTAGGCTGACACCAGTACCAACACCAAAATTAGTTGCTTCCACTGATAACAATACCTTGGCACACCCTTGTAAAAATTATTACAGTATAACTTTCCTCATGTTCTGCTAGTTGTTACTTTAAGCATTTGAAGAATGTGGAAAAGGTTAACTTAGGCCTACATTTCCTTGCCAGATTCTACCAAACATACAGGAACTCACCACACCAATACCAAATAAGCATATGCCAAAGATAAATGAATTTGATAATACCAAAGCAAAGAAAGAATATGTGATAGAAAAAATGTCAAAGACAGCACCTGCTTGGCCCTGTAGCATATCAACATTGTAAAAATAAAAGCTACATTTCCTTACCAAATTGTATCAAATGTATAGGACTCTACCACATCTATACTAAACATACCATATACTAAAAATTAATGCATTTATAGAAGTTGTAAGCAAGAAAAGGAAGTACATGTAATATACTTCAAATGTTGTGGGAGGCTGCATCTGAGAGATGTGGAGAGAGCTGCCAACTCAGACTTTAGCTCCCAGCAGTATTGTCATATTGTGAGAGCAGATTCTTATATAGTTAACTCATCATTACATATCTGACTTTTCTCCTATAACTTCTGTTTTGTATGATCTGTGCATCAGTGGGATGAGAATGTCATATTTAATGGAAAAGAAAATAACACCAGATGCTTTAGCTGATTTGAAGGCAGTCAGCAGGGCTATAGCATGCCTCCACCTTCTCTCTCAAAATATTAGTGTTAATAATATAACAGGGGCAGAAACTGGCAAGAATCTTACCAAAACATCTCCCTATATTTTTTCTTTTAACTCACTGGCTGTCTCCCACTGAGGTAGAATAACCCAAAAAAGAAACACTGTCACCACCATTCACTCTATCATTGTCTTACCAGATACTACAGTTCAGATGCCTCTCCAAACACTTATTCACTCTTTATTATCAGTCACCAGCATGTTCAACAATTGTAGAGGTACTGCTACAGTAGATACACCACTGTTAATGGAACAGGCATGTATAATTAATGTAGCTATGATGATGCAAGATACTGAACTTTTGTGGATTTCTAGCACTACTAAAGCAGTAGGCATTTACTTCAAACTTTTTGAGTGTTATATATAAACTAAGAATTCATATTACATAAATTTTGTAAACATTAGTTAGATAAGATAAGAACAGTGGGAGGCTTGGGAACACTGCTCATGGTCTGGCAAACAGATTCTGAAAATCTCAAGGATACTTCTAATATTTCAGGCATCACCAAATTTATTTTAGATCCATGGCGTGTTTTATCAAGGTTGTTTGACGTGCTATGCAAATTTTAGATGCACTTTTTTCAGTAGCGTTTACACAAAATCACACTGTGATGTCACTTACAAAAATAAAGTACACTACTGCATGGCAAAATTTTCCTCCTTGTTATTGCATGCTGTTGCAAATGTATAGAGCTTTAAAAGCAACATTAAATATTTTAAGAAAAGTTTAGTCTTATTAATGGTACTCTTAGCAGCTAAATTTTGTAATTGATTTAACTTTAAATTTATTTAACTTTAATTCCTTGCAAAGAATGCTTTGAGTTGATACTGGTCGCAGAATTGAACATGTCGAATAAGCACATTGGAAGTGGATGCCATACAAAGGTTCAAAAATAGTTAGGATGGGGCTCAGTCATGTCAATGTAAAGAAGCAAGATGAAAAGCTGGAGCACATCTCTGCAAATTCAAATTATTAATTAAATAACTATGCTTTAACCCTTTCACTGTTGCGACTCCCAAAATTGAAAGTGCTGATAATGTCATGATTTTTTTAGAACTTTTTTTTTATCTTCTGTTGTGATAAGAGAAATTTTTCTGAAGGTAATGGCAACAAATTTTCAAAAACTGACTGAAAATTCATAGAATTACACAGGATGCAGTTTACACCAGCAGCTTTGTCCATTTTAAGCCAGCTCCAATGCTCAATGCTAAGCAATTCCTGTTTTGCTAGTATGCCTTCCATTCTATTGATTGAGCACAAGAAACCTCCCATTGAACTATGAGACTACTAATTTGCACAGAATTCAGTAATTTGGCTAATTGTAAAAAAAAAATAAAAAAAATCCAATTTAAAAACAGTCCAAAATAAACACGGCAGACATTCCATTCACTAAAGCAACCTTTCCTCTGTTCATTATTTACATCTCCAGGCATCTCTCTATATAACACTTGCCCCCTTTCCCTAGCCTGTGTGGTTTAGCACTTTTTTTTATTATAATAATAATAATAATTGCCCCCCTTCCAGTTTGAATCCATCACATAACTTGGAAAATAAAAAAAATAACCAACAATGATTGGTCATGGTTTAGGCCATCTTA